GGAAGATGAGAGCTTAGATGACTAGACTGAGTTTGGTGACAGTCTTGGGATGAAGCTTTTTCGCAGATAAAGTCTTGTCACTCTGCCACAACCTGCCTGCCAACATTGACACAGTGTGTGAACTAGAGGCCCCTTGGCCATCTTTGGATTCAGTATTGGACAGCTTCAGCCGATTCTCCCAGGCCAATGTTGACAGGATTCTTGGTGCTGTTAAACCAACGACTTGCCTCTTAGACCTGTGTCCATCATGGCTGGTGAAAGCCAGTGGTGAGGGAGTATGGGCCCCCCTGGTGGACATTATAAATCTGTCCCTGAGTTTGGGGGTCTACCCAGGCAGACTAAAAGAGACTGTGGTAACTCTGCTCTTAAAGAAGTCATCTTTGGATCCTACTAATCTGTCCAATTACTGCCCAATATTGAACCTTTCATTTCTGGGTAAGGTAATTGAAAGAGCGGTGGCAGAATAGCTCCAGAGGACACATTGTCGTTGGATCCATTCCAATCCAGTTTCCACCCTGGGCATGGAACACAGACAGCGCTGGTTGCCCTTACAGACAATCTTCATAGGCAGCTGGATCGAGGCGGGTTGGTACTGCTGTTATTGCTCGATTTGACAGCAGCGTTCAACATGGTCAACCACTATCTGTTGACCAACCACCTCGCTGAGATAGGAATTCTTGGGACAGCCTTGATGTGGCTTGCCTCATTTCTCCAAGGCTGGGGACAAAGGTTGGTGTTAGGAGAGAGGATTTCACCACGATACCCTTTGGTATGTGGGGTTCCTCGGGGGCAATCCTGTCTCCAATGTTATTTAACATCTCTATGCGCCCCCTTCCCCAGCTGGAACGGGGTTTGGGGCTGGGTTGTCATCAATGTGCAGATGACTCCCAGCTGCATCTGTTGATGGATGGATGGCCAGATACCACCCCAGCTATTCTGGCCGAGGGGCTGGAGGCCATGGTTGGATGGCTGAAACAGAGCCAGCTGAGACAGAACAGAGGTTCTATGGCTGGGCAGGGGGGATTTATGGTTAGGAGGTGCCTTTAACACAAGTGCTGACTGTCAAGAGCCTAAGCATGTTTCTGGATGACTCCTTATCTATGGAGGCCTAGATCACAAATGTTGCTAGACTGGCATTCCTTCAACTATGCTGGATTAGGCAACTGGTTCCCTTCCTATCTCTTCCTGACCTAGCCACAGTGTTCCACGCAACAATCACCTCCTCCGTTAGACTACTGTAACTCGCTCTATGCAGGGTTGCCCTTGAGACTGACTCGGAAACTACAACTGGTCCAGAATGCAGTGCTGCGGATTCTTACATGAACTCCATCAACCACCCACATTCAACTGGTGTTTCACCAGCTGCACTGGCTCCACGTCAAATACCAGATCAGGTTCAAGGTTTGGCTCTAAACAGTCTGGAACCAACATACCTATGGGACCGCCTCTCCTGTTATACCCCCCCCCAAGAGCATTACACTCAGGAGAGAAGAACTTACTGGTGATGCCTGGCCCAAAGAGTATCCGGCTGTCCTCAACCAGAGCCAGGGCTTTTTCGGCGATGGTGCCAACCTGGTGGAACTCTCTGCCACATGCAATCTGTACCCTGCAGGACCTAATCCAATTCCACAGGGCCTGCAAGACAGAGATGTTCTGCCAGGGCTATGGTTGAGGACAGCAATGGTCTCCATCTAGCCTGGCTTGTTCCTTCGTTCTCCCCCAACGGAGGCAAGGACACAAATTAGTGCACCTTTTATGTGCCATCTGTAACTTGTTATTGAATTACTTAAGATGTTTTAATTTGACTGTTAATGTTGTTTATTTGGAAGTGCTGTTCCCTGCTCCGAACCTTGTGTACAGGGGAGGGCAGGTTAGGTTACAAATTGAATAAATAAATAAGTGCCCCTTACAAACTCGGAATACTCTGCAGAAACCCAGCCCAAACCTCCAGAAGACCTTACCAAGTGGTTTCATGTAGATCCCAAAGAGCATAAGGGATAAGATGGAACCTTGCAGGAAAAAGTCTTCCCACCTCTTGAAACTTACCCTCCAAATAGGACTAGAACCATCACAGAATGGTGTCTCTCAATCCTAGCCCGGGAAGGCAGTCCAGTGGTATCAAAAGCCACTGAGAGGTCCAGGAGAATCAACAGAGTCACACTTTCTTTGTCCATCCCCCAGCACAGGTCATCCACCAGGGTAATAAAGGCTGTTTCAGTTACATAACCAGGCCTAAAACCAGATTGAAAAGGATCTAAGCATTTGCCTTATCCAAGAAAGCCTGAAATTGTCCAGCCACCACCTGTTCTATCACCTTGCTCAAGAATGCAAACTTTGGGACTGGTTGATAGTTATTGAGGTCTCCTGGGTCCAGGGTAGACTTCCTTAAAAGTGGATGCATCACAGTGTGTTTCAAAGCCAAGGTGACCACCCCCTCTCAAGGAGGCATTAATTACCTCTTAGACTCAGTCAGCTACACACACACACACACACACACACACACTGGGCAGATTCAAATAGGCAGCAAGAGCAAGGGTCATATGAGGAGATAGTAGGCCTCAGGTCTCTAAGGAACCCTTCCACATCCTGAGACTGAATAAAATGAATAGTACCCTAAACAAGTGGACAGGTCAGCACCACAGCATCATCTGACCCTGTCACAGCTAATGTGGAGTCCAAGTTGAAATGGATGTGAGAGATTTTATGTGCAAAGTGCAGAGCAAAAGAGTTACTGGTTGATCACTGTGTGAAACAGAATGCCGAACAGACCAGTCTTAAGATCAGGTAAAAATAGATCAGCACGACAACAGAGTACCTCTGAGCTATACATTTAGGAAATGGATTTAAATGCAGATATTGATGCCTATTGTCAGCTTTCTCTTGTTGGATTTAGTAGTAGATTAGGAAGATGAGCCAGTATCTTCAGGAACTTTCAGTATCCAGTCTGATTATTTTCCACTCAAGCTGTCTAGGTTCATCCAGCTGCAAACTATTATGGAGTACTACTTTAATATCATCAGAACCTCAGACAAAATAATTGTTCCCAAAATATTTCCATCACCATAAAAACTCCATGCTAGCCATTCCTAGAGAGGGCTAGTATACAGTTTTAATATGGTTATTGCAGATTCAGTTTTCTGTCTACATAATTAAAAAAAAGTGTGTAATATGCACCATTATAGTCCTTCAGCAAATGTTTCTGAAGTATAGGGCCGGCACATCTATTGCTAGATACCGTGCCTTTGTCCTTGAGAGGGAAAAATGTTGGGGCACTGCATTTGGAAACATGAACTGTAAGTTGCCCAATATGTTCACAAGACAGCTCAAAAGCAAAGCCAGCTGAAATTGTTTTCATTACCCAGATAAGTTCTGTTCTCTGAACTGAAAAAAAATCTGTCTTCTCACTGGAAGTAATCATGTTTTCCCCATAATGCAGTAATGAAAACAACCCCACACACAAATTGCATTCACAAAAACAAAATACTGACTTTACTTACTGACCTTTAAAAAAAACACTGAGAAATGACCAAGATGAAAAAACTTACTTTTACTGGGGGGTTTTACTGATCATTTTCCACCCCTGTATAAAGAACCACGGAAGGTGCAGTCTGAAATATCTTCCCATAACTTCCGATCTACCTGGTGGAACGAGCTCCCGGAGGAGATCCGGACCCTGCGGGACTTGGCGCAATTTCGCAGGGCCTGTAAGACAAAGCTCTTCCATCAGGCTTTTGAGTAGGAGCCGCCACCATCACTATACCACCACCACTAAATGGAATGGGTGTCATCGGGGAACGAGATAGCCCTGGGAGGAAGGACGGATCGTTGTACTACCCGGAGTCTATCGTGTCGCTCTGGGACCACTTTGTTATGTGTGACCCCATCTGTTATTTGTGACATCTAGAGCACTTGTATTTTTTATATGAATGATCGTTTTAATGCTTGTTTTATCCTGTTTTTACCTGTGGAATTTTGACATATGTGCCCATCTGTTAGCTGCCCTGAGCCCATCTGGGGAGAGTGGGGTATAAATTTAACAATAAATAAAATGAATAAATAAAATAAATCAATCTGCTGCTTGTCACCAATTTTAAATAACTGTTACAGATCTGATGCCATGCATCTGATGCAGAGTCTGTCTCATGAAAGCTTATGCTGGAATAACTATCAGCCTGGTGCCCCTGAATTTCTGTTTAATTTTGCTGCAACAAACTAACATGTCCACCCCTCTGTAACTTTTAACCAGAATAGCAGAATAGGGTAGAACAGCTGAAAAAGTCCTGCTCCTTTTAAGTTTGTTACAAGAGTCAAGAAAATAATGAATATTCCAGGCGGTATTTTTGTTCTTACCTTAGTTCTGCTGGGAGAGACCTGTAGTCTTACTTTTGTATTAGGCAAGCATACTGATAATTCTGAGACCACCCTCCCCAAATTTACTTGCTGTACTGAAACAAATTTTACCCTTGCTGAAAAAAATCAACTGTTGCCAGCAAACCAGAATATGAATAGTCATCTATATTCATACCAGTCTTGTCAAGTTAGCAAACCATGAGTTGGGGGCACTTAACCAACTGATCAAGAGCTCAGATCCTACAAATAATGTAAGCACAATTCAAGTATTGGGGGGAAAGAATAAAAGTGCACAGAATAAAACATTAATGCCACACATGAAACCTGTATAATATAGGTTGCAAATTTATTATGCATTAGGAAGCTTATTAACTTAAAAACCAAACTGCATAGTACAAAAGGTTTGTTATCCTTGCTTAAGGCGGAACAAGTTTCAAAATATATATATATTATATATATTTAAATTTTGTTCAGTCAATACATAATCCTTTATAAAAGCTGTATATCTGTCAACACCCTCATTACATTTATAAATACAAGATTTACACAGTACCTCATCTGGAAAAAAGTAAAACTTCTTACAAATATCTACATATATTCAATACATATAAAACATTCATAAGAGTACTTTATTAAGAGTTGTGTAATGGTCCATTTTCACTGCCGCAAAATACATAGAAATCTGTGCAATTTCATAAAATGCCTCTAAAAATTATACCATGATACTTTGTAGAAATTAAACTGTCTTTTAAAGCCTCTTCTGGAAGTAGTTTCATAATTGTAATTCCATGAGTTTCTTCAGGGGTACTGATATGAAGGCTAATAGATAATGGATAACAAATGCACGCTAAACAGCAGTTAAGGCAGGAGTGAAATAAATGGGGGAGGAGTGCTTCATTCGGCAGACAGTGACAAATGATGCAATAAATGCACAAATGTAAATTGCCTCAGCATCCAACTGATTAGTCCCTATCTTTGAACTGGCCACACTGGCAAATCAGTCAGCATCTGTAGCACCTTCCATCAGCAGAAAATCTTCTAAGCCCTTTAGACAGGTTCCATATGAAACCATTATACACATGCCTCTAAGTTAGATTCCTTAGGAGTGAGGGTGTCAATTTCTAAGCAGTGGCTCAATTTCTTCTGGAAAACTTCATCTAAAAGTCATAATGCAATATTCGGTATCAGACAGCGTATTAGTAAGAATATTGATTCAGGGATTTTATTATGACCTTTATCCATCAGTAATACTTCAATTGTTAGTCATATAGAACATTCTTTCCTAAACCCAAGAGGATTATAAGGGAGTATGCAGAAGGCAGGAAAAACGGGCATAATGGAAAACATTACTTTGGCAGGGGCTGTGTTTCGCTCACAGTGAATCTGGGTGTTCAATTCTGTCTGAAAATTATATTTTCCAAGAACGGCATTCTACATTTTCAGTTTAATTGTGGGCTTGATGGCTTTGCGCATCGTATACATAAAAATAATTACCATGAACTGTTATACAAAAACACAGGAAGTGGTTGACATCCAGCCCCAACTAGACATTATACCTTTGTAGGTGGGTGAAATGTGCAAAGTTTCCAACGGATCAAAAGCTCACTCCAGTTAAGTCCTGATCCAATTTTGGACCTCAGTGCATGGATTTTGGATTTTGCTTGCTTGCAGTCTATTAAATTAGGAAAATCTAGCTCTCATACACTGCTGTCTTGCAGCAGTGGCTCAATGTCCTCATCACTGCCTCGATCTGGGTTGTTGCTCTGGATACTGCTGATGCTGTTGCTGTGCTTTCTGGTACTGCTGACTTTACTGGGCTCAGGGATGAATAAGGCAACCAGGAAAGCAAGAAGGACTGCACATGCTCCAAACAGAAAAGGTGGTCCGGGTATGATTGCACTCTATAGAGGAAAAACAGAATAAGCTCTTACACCATATATACACTTTTTATGAATAATAAAATACAGACAACGAGACTGCAAAAAAACTACCCTTAATGATTCAGGCCTGTATTCACATGAAGTTTCCAGTAGAATTATTTACTTCACAAACATAAATATGCCAATTTTGGCTGGCTTTAAGTTGCCAATCAATTTTTTGGTCTTCATTCTGTTCTGTCTACGATGCATATGTGTATGAAATGTTAGACTAAACTTTAGAAGCAGTGAAATCTTGCTGCCTCCAAAAATAGAGACAAGCTCCTGCCCATCTTCCACCTTGAGCTGAAACAGGGACTGCAAACATCCTGCTTGAAAAAATGGCAAAATTGGGCAAGACTGCCCACCCTGGAGTTACTTGAGAGGAACTAGAAGAAGCCTCTGAACAACAGCACGTGGTTACCAGGGCAGCCACCATAATCTACCATATCTGTCAAATTCAGCAGAATGGGACCACCATGCATGAACTACTGGGATGATGATAGACGCTAGCCCTGTTAGATGCTATTGTGTGTCTGCAATATCTGGGGCCTTCATAGGAGATAGGGGGTTGGAAAACAGCATGTGCAGGGGAGCTTGAAAAGGAGGAGTGAAATAAGACAAGAATTATTTCCCCACTGCACACAGTCACTTTGGAAATGAGCACAGGTGAAGATGGTGAGTGGTGACAATCCCCTTCTTTACTATCGAAAGCTACAACAGACAGCCTCCAGTGAAGAATGAAGTGCTCCACATGATACAGATGTTAATAGCTGATACTGACTAACTCAACATATACAGCTTTTAATGATTTCATCAAGAATTGTTTAAGAAAGAAATGTAAGTTACAGACTATGACAGCAAACCAAAACCCCCAAAATATTGTGGAAAGCAGGGTCATTCAAGATGATCTGAATAACTAAACGTCAATCCTGATGAGCACAGCCTGTGAAACTGCAGATACTTGTAAAATGCTCTGCCCAAGAGAGCCTTAATGCAGGCTTCAGCAGGAACATTTGCCTCAAAATGTAAATTATTACAATACAAGTGTGTAACAGAAATGCTGACTCAATCATAATGGTGTGGAGATTGACAGACCCATTATAAAACACTCCTAGTATATTGGCCAAGGAGGCTACATAAAAATAAATGCACTGAGGTGACAAAGAAGGACAATGAATCACCAATCTATGATGAACACAAATAGCTATGTAAACATTTAGTCTCAATACTGCACTTTTCAAAAGCTTACAGCCCCAGAGCTCTTAAAGAAACAGGGACCATCTCAAGAACCCTTTTATCACAGGCTCTTAAATGCCATCTTAGAAGACAACGTACTTTTGGAATGTGGAAAATATTCCTCAAACTTTAGAAAAGGGTTCTCAAATACAGATATAGAAACCCAGCACTTATAACCAGAATTTAAGTGTGCAAGACTGGCAACGTTGCTCGATTTTAACATCCAGTTTTCAAAACATCTTATATAACAGATGTCCTAAATCCTGCAAAGAAGTCTTGCAGCACAAGACTGTAACAGAGATGCTGCCTCAACCCTTAGGAGTATGGAGACTGACAGTCCTTTATACTCTGCTTCCTCCTTTCAAACATTGCTTTTGCGGATCCCAAAAACAACATGAAGGTGGGTCAGATGTTTGCTGGGGAAGGGGCGGGGGGAGAACAGGCAAAAATGATCATAGAGCAAGGAACAGAGCAAGGTAAATTACCAAAACGCAACATGCCAGTAAAAAAAGATCAATGCTTTACCTCATCACTTGGATCTTGCAATGCTATTTTATCAGAATTCGGGACAGGTGCCAAGTCATTAAGTTCCACATGGAACAAGTAAAATATAAAGCCATAGAGAGCCGGACCAAGACCGTTACACAGGCCTCTGATTCCTGTTATTATCCCCTGGACAACACCTGCACAAACAATAAGTTAACTGTGAAGGGAAAGAAATACTTGCTACTAACTTGATTCATGACAACTTAAGACCTGCAATTTAATGACTTTTGGGCTATCAGACAATTGTCATGTTGACCTTACTACAAACACAAATGACTTTTAAATGATAGCAGGACTGCAAAATCATAACTGATAGAATAGCATACTTTCTAAACCAGATGCATGGGATATCAGAACTGATTCAATCAAATCACCAACATGGAGCTTAAATGATGGCAAATCTCACTCCTGTTTCACTACTACTTGCTAAACTAAAGAAAACTTTGTAGAATTTTTACCTGTGAAGTAGCAAATGGATATTATGGACTAATGCCACACTCTGCCTACTCTAATTGTTTCATCTCATTTAAATACAGCCTCAACTCCTAAAAAATTGAGTCAGTGCAAGAACAGGATAGTCAGTTCCAATCCACAGAATAGTGCAATATTCTACCAGACATTACTTCACCACTAGGTGGTGTAACTTTCATTTTTTATCTACCCAAAGTGCCTTCCAAGGCTGCTTAAGAATTACAAAAGAAAAACTGGGGGAAGGGTTCCTATTTTAAACTTGCACACTTTTACACTCAACTTTTAAGAAGAAGAAGAACAGATTGGATTTATACCCTGCCCTTCACTCGGAGTCTCAGGGCGGCTTACAAACTCCTTTCCCTTTCCCTCCCCACAACAGACACCCTGTGAGGTAGGTGGGGCTGAGAGAGCTCTTTCAAGAACTGCTCTTTTTCAAGAACACCTCTGACAGAACTATAGCTTGCCCAAGGTCATCCAGCAGCTGCAAGTGGAGGCGTGGGGAATCAAACCCGGTTCTCCCAGATTAGAGTCTGTGCACTTAACCACTACACAAAAAAACGGAATAACTTTCTGTCAAAAACAACACTCTCATCCTAAGTGATTCTATAAAAACTATACTTACCTTACAGGAGGATACTTATTAAACTCTACATGCTAGTGATACAAGAAAGGCCAGGGTTGGCTCTTTGACATGCCATCTGTGGCTCTTCTGAGTACCATTCCCCAATATGACAGCTGTCCCATGTTCCAAGTGGGTTAACAACACTGCCTGTTAGGGCTTGCGATTATCAGGTGGTTCATACCTTGAAACAGCCATCACTGGAAGGACTGGAGAATAAGCCATAAAGATCCCTAAGCTCCCTGCCTTGTGACATGGTTGAATGTAAAGGGCAACTGTCTTCAGTGACCCGCCCCCCCCAGCATCTGCACTCTAATCCCAGAGCTCAGGCAACTGCCAGGAGGAAAGCAAACTGGCAGCAAAGAAGAGAGCAAAACCACCACCACCACCACGACAACCAACCGGGAAAACAGCAAGCTGGCCACAGTGGGGTGATAGTGTTTTAATTCCCCATTCTCCACAGCCACTTTCTCCTGCAGGCCCTCTCTGGCCTGAACCACTGTGTCTCTTGCTGAGGAGAGGAAGGTGGAGACAGAAGACCTCCCCCTCCAGATATCCGAGGCACCACAGTAGAGGGGAGAGACAATTTTACAAACAGAGGTATATTTAATACTAATACTAATAAATACAATATTATTGTATGTGTGTATTTGGTGGAGTGGCCAACAGGGCATACAGGAGTCACATGGCTCTTCTGGTTGATGGTAATTGTGAATGTGGCTCTCCATGACCCCTAGTGTACCTTCCTCTTACATGCTCATTTACTGCTTGCAACTGTACCTGGAGATCAACCCAGTCCCAACCCAGGAAATCTTTTGTCAAAAATCTGACTATAAATATTAAGCCTGACAAGATTTCACCTATTTGTTTTCAAAAGTTAATTACTCTCATAGCCCTCCTATAGCCATCTGTTTCATAATGATCAATTTTACTGATTATTCACTCCACACTGTTCTGAGGGTATGACTAAAGAACTGCTATATGCATAACTGACTTCCTTTATGTTCACATGGGACTACATAAATGTTTCAAGGGTTTCTTCCAATACCTCAGATGTATTCTCTAACACACAGGGAACTTGATTTGGAAAAAATATAGCTCTATACAAGAAGTATCCTGAGGAAAATCGACATGTTATTGTATTCACCTTGTTGATCTGAGTCTGCATTTCGAGACACCAAAGCACTGACTGCTGGGAATGTAATACTTGACATAGCAGCTACAGCTCCTGCTGCCCACATCATCCTGAAAACAACGCACAATGTAATGCCACTACAAAATAGGGTGGAGAAGGTACATCTCAATAGCACAAGCCAGATCCTCCAGCTCTCATTTCATCTTATCTGCTCAAAAGCACTTTCTGCCATTTATGATTGGGTACAGTATACATGCCAGAGAATACAGAGGACTGAAAATAAAATTTTCTTTGGCATTTAGGACTCACTACTTCTCCTTGCTTCCTTGACTGGAAAATGTATTGGGGGGGGGGCACCTTGCTCTTTTGCAACCATTTTAGTTTTTGAGGAACACTGCTATCCACATCATCCAAAGGTATGCAGTAAAACATCTTTTCCCCTTTAAAAAACCACCTTCGAGTTTTGCTAATTTTGTGCTTTCTGCCATCTCTAGAGGGTTTTTAAAGAAACTTTTAAATGCCATGGCAATTCTGACTTAAGACCATTTTACAGTTTACAGCAGAGAGTTAGAAATAAACCTGTGGCTGGGTTCCATCATTACAATAAACTAGCTTGTTTAAACAGTGGTTCATGTTACAAACCCTAGTTAGTCTATCAGATAGAGGAACAAATCCCAATTTGTTTATAAAACAGAGACAGGTTTTTTTGTAAAAATTAGAATGGAAAATTAACCAGTGCTCTTCACAGACTACAAGCTGATTAAGCATGTTCATCTTGATGTTGAAATTTTGTTTTACTGATTTAATTTCCAAAGTACCTCATGTTAATTTTATGTCCCAATAGCAATAAATAATTGAACTGAAATATCTGGTTAGGAAAAACATAAATTGTCGTTTAAATGTTAGCCACAAATGAATTTAAAAGCTTTGTGGAAATTATTTTACTGGAAAACTACCCATAAAAATTTAAAGACAATATATCAAGTACTTCATATGTGGGAATTATTCTTACTGTAATATTACATGTAAGAATAAAGACAATACAGCAAATACTTCCCTTACTGAAAAGTGCTGTCACACTAATTTTAGCACCTCGAAGACCTGGGCATGTTACACCACGGACAAAGTTGTCCACTTAATTATTTCAGCAAAATGCCACTTGCTTCCATGGAGGATACTACGGTGCCTCAAATTCACTGTCACTCTTTGTGGTGTCACTTATCAGATCAGTGATTACAAAATAAAAATATAAGATAAAAATATAGGAATTTTAGCTTTCTTTTTTATTTGACCCGCAGCACCACCAGGTGAACTCTTAAACTGATTTTTATTGGTATTGTTGTATGCACTTATGGTGTTGTCTTCCTCCCCATGCTTGTAAATCAGCAAAACATACTTGTCCTGTCAATTCCTAGGTCTAATCACCTGAAAAACATTCATTAAAATCTTGAAATTACCATGCTTGCCTAATATTGCATTAGCAGTGGCTTCTATTCACTGTTATTAATTTTATGAAACAATGAATCTTTAGAAATGGAACAATTTCAATAGAAAAATAAAGCTACTGGAATATTTTCCATTCCACATCTATTAGTCAACCTAATAGGTTTACAGGAGTATTTTAAAGGTACCCAGGGTATGCCTGTTCTAAAAGCAGCACTTACCAAGGCTGAGAACCAAAACCATACCAGGCCAGCTGGAACATCTGGAAACCAAGGCCAAGTAGTACTGTGTTTTTATTCCCTATGGACCTCATTAGGATACTAAGAAAGACAGTCTACAAAAACAAGAAATAACATTCTGTTGAAAAATATTAATCTTTAAAGTTTTAGTAACTACGGCTATATAATGCTAAAAAGGGTACCAGTGTAATGTCAAAATTCATGCAGACGTGTTTAATGATGAAAAAAGTCTGACCTATATATACTGCTAAAAGAACAAAAATTGAAGTACTTTTTAGCAGTATATATAGGTCAGACTTTTTTCAATTTTAATCACTTAGCATTTGTAAAGCACTTTTTCTTACATGCTTCATATGTTTTACACCTCAGTAAACCTTGTACAACTGCCCCACAGGTTGACGAGTTTTATCAAGAGGGAGAAATAGTAGCCTTGCTAACTACACCCAATGATTCGATGGTTGAGGTACAACTTTAATTGGGGACTTTCCACTCAAAATATTTGAGTCCTCAATCATTGAACTAGGTCCCCCAACATTTAATTAGAGAAGCGATTAACAATACTTCATACAAATCCTTCACCTCCAGCACTCCCCATGTCCCTGGTCTCATTTAACAGCCTATTTTTATGACTGCCTACTTCCTCTCATTCCCTGCAGCTCCAAATTACAAATCCCTCATGTTAACTTTGCAGTACACTGAGAAACAAATTCTTCAGGTTCCTCTCAAGATAGCAGACACCAATTCTTGTGGGCAGCTCTCAGTCAGACGGAAAAGAACTCTGTTACCCCAGACAGACATTTGGCAAAAAAACAAAGCCCACATTCTATATCAAGCAAAGTCTAGTCAGACTCTCACAAGAAAGGCTGTGCTTATATTGTACTTGCATGGATTAAATAAGGTCTCAGACTTGAAAGCACCTCCCCCAACCACTTTTTATATTTCTGCTAATCCAGACTTTTACAGGATACAAAGCACACCATTCTAACCACAGACTATAATTAACTTCTTCTAAATTTTAAACTGGGATAGAAACTAAAAACAATTCTAACATTGTAAATTAGGCAGAAAAAAACCATATAAACAAAAATGTCTTAACTTTAAGGAAAGTAGAATTAAACACAGGCAACAAATCATATACATCATGTCACGAGTCACTGTATATTATGAACTAAGAAGTTAAATATCAGGTTCTTTACCTTGCCTGAATGCTTAACAAGATTATTCAACAGTGTTCTTACATTTCCCCACAGGCCAGAAAGCAGGCATTCTATGTTTGCAGCAATGCATAAACAGAGCGCAAGTTCAGTGTTATTGCAGACACATTCTCAAATTAATCAACAAAAATGCTGAAATGTCTCACTGTTAGCCAACATTTGGCAGTTCTTAACAGCCATAATAAAAGTGGACTGTTCTTCGGGAACAGGTCTACAAGAATCACAGGAATGAATTTGCAGATCCCTTAATCCCAAAAGATGAATTAAAAACAGCACCCGAATATTTGTTTTCTGTATACTCAAATTATGACCACCTGATTAGCAATATTTCTCTTCTATCAGAAGTACTCTCCAAAATGTGTCAGTTTCTAAAATCATACCAAAAAAATGCTTACCTGAGCAACTATAGATAGAATTCCTACCACTGCTATGAATGCCGCAATGCTAGCATCTTCAAATCTTATGACCTGTAGACAAAACAAAAAGATAGCTGTTGGCTGATTTACAGTAAGAATGTGATTTTGTTAGTCTACTTCTGATCTGCTCAATTTTTATAACTTTTCATAAAATCAAATTTGGAAGAGTGGGAATTCAAATGCAGGTGGCTAACACCACAAAATTTAGAGTTGCAAAAGAAAAGACAGTGGTTGTGGTCACATGCAAAGGGCAACACAGTAAATCTGTCAACAGAAGTTGCAAGAAGGAAATTATGTAGTGTCCCAAAACTATCCAAAGACAAAGATGCCACTCCCTGTATTGTCTTTTACACAGTATGTGACCACTGACCATCAACGCAATTCAGACCTCAAGTGCCCTGTGATAGACCAGAAACTCTGGTTCAAACCTTTTCACAATTCCAGAGTTCCTGCTAATATACAACTTATTATCATGTCTCCAATTTTAATAATTCTGAATGATAATTCAATCAAAAACTTCCTTTCCTGCTGCCCTTCCCCAGTTATTTAATCAGTTCTACAGTTTTCTCCTGATAATTTGCCCAGCACCCAAGTTATTCCTTTATTCTCTGTTGCAATCCTTTGTGTTCTGAAAAGATCCTATATTACCCTATGGGCCCAAAACAGTATAACCAACCTAGCTTCAAAGCCAGAAATCAGTCTGATCCTGGTTACAAACTGGACTGCAACTCAGGGTCCCAATACACTGGATCCTTCCTTCTATCCTGATTTCTACACAGACTAGAACAGGTATATCATTGCTCCCCATCTTGATCTATCTCCCTTTATTTTCCAAACCATCGTGCACCACACAGAGAGCTGACACTTTGCTCCTCTCAGCTATTTAGGCCTCACATCTGGAATACTGGATCTCTGTTCCAACTGATTCCACTTCTGCTCTATCCTGTTGCCCATTTTCCCCACATCTACACCTTTAGCTTAATAGTAGTTTCCACTCCTAACTGGGAACAGTTCTGGTTGTTTAATGGTTATTAATAATGTCAGTTTGGATAAGGAATGTACTATTTATCTGTGCTTTGATTTAGTATCTCCTAGTATTTGTTTAAGATAAGTTCCTCACCACCACCACTATTGTACCAAATCCCTCAATAAACTCCATGTTCCTTTTTTAAGCCTTTAAATCAGGTTTCTGGTATCCTTTTTCTGCTGAAACTTGCTACTCAGAGTCACCTCTTCAGGTAAAGGATCACGGTTTCCCACTTCCTGCACAAACATGCAAGCTAATTCCCCATGTCATTCTGAACACATGTTCATGTGTTTGTGGGGGTGTGGTAACAGCTTCCCCCTAAACGAAAGGTAACTTCCATACTTTTTTGTGCAGCCAGATCCTATGCATACTTTAAGTGTGCATAGCATTGCACCATTAAAGTAAACGTCTACATGGACAAAGTACTGCTTCAGGCTACTTCTAATTTGATAGTGCCAAATTCTTTCATTACTGTACTATTTTCCCCACACATTGCCTTAGCTAGCCCTCCTCTGTGTAACCCTGCATATACACTATGGAAGTGAATAAATACCAATGAGAGCGGTTTAGACCTTTCTTTCTTTCTTTCTTTCTTTCTTTCTTTCTTTCTTTCTTTCTACAAGCTTTTCTACATAACCACTTTGAAATGATTTGTACCTTCCCTGCCTCCGAACTACATCTCACTGTATTACTTTCCCTTTATTACTTACTGGTCTTTATTCTGCTTTTACTTCAACCCAATTATCTACAGTACAGACTTCATCCTATGACCTTCACAACATGTTTTAAAATGATTTATAGTACAGCAATAAAGCAGACTCCATAGGTGTGATCAAATAATCCTTTCCACATACTTTGTCACATTATCACATTTATGCTGCACTCAAGCTTATTCTTGTGTTTGGATGAACATTATGTGTACTGTCTTCCTTTATGTAAAAATATGAGTAAGGAGAATTTCAATAGGATTCTACTGATTTACTTCGTCTATCAGAAATTGTCAGTTCAGAAACAGGAAATGTCCCCAGCATGGTATAATTCTTAGTATGTGAGCTAGGGGGAGATATAGTGACGGGAGAAGAGCAGGTCAGGTAAGGGAAAGGGACAGACATCTGCATGCTGTTCCCCTTTCTGATCTTCTTCCAGCTGAAGTGATGTTCATAACCATATAAACAACCTGCCAGGTGATGAAATTCTGCTGCTAGATCTGAGAGAAGGGATAGTCACCCCAGCCTTTAAATAGGCTTCAGGTCATTCTGAAGAACTCTCGTCTAAGCCACTGCTCCCAAAAAGTAAAGAGCTTTAAAACTGAGTAAAGAGTTTAAAACTGATACTCCTTTAATGTAAAATTTATAGTATGCCATGCATCAGCCATGCCTCTGATCACACCCTGGAGAACTTTTGCAGGCACTTACACATTACAGAAGTCCAGCAAGAATAGATTTTCCTCCATAAACAACAGCTCCCCATACAGAACGTCTGATTCTCAAAAGCAGCTTGGAGCAGTAAGGGGGGGGCTGGTTTTAAAGTAGAAAAGCTTGCTGAACATTCTGGCTCTTGTGACATCTGAGGTTTTAGTATTTGTACCAATAACTGATAATTTGAGTGAATTCCAGAGAGTATCATTTAATTCTTTAAGATGCTCCATCTGATATAGGGTTACATTATATAGATGATTTGATAATTTACAATTTCACATGTTGCTTAATGATATTCTTAATTTTTAAAAAATCAGGCACAGCTTTGCAGAAATAGTAAAATATTCTGAAGAGATTGTTACTTACTTGTCTCAAATACAGGAAAAAGCTAGAATACTGGCCAGCCTCAGGCAGATACGAAAGAAACACAGTGATGCAAGTCAGCAAGATTGTAGAATCTTTTCCAACTTTTCTCAAAGACTGCCAAAAAAATCAGGAAAAGTAAACATAAGTCCATGTGAGCCACCAAGCCAGTACCATTTTAAGTGGATAATAGATTTTCAAACTATTGTTTTCCACAATAATAATTTATGTAATGCCATTTCAATTGATAATATATGATTTTCAAATATATATATATATATATACACACACACACACACACACACACACACACACAAAGAAAAAGGCCTGTTGTGGAAATAAATACAACGGCCTCTAGAAAGAGACTCTGGGCGGGTGCCCCGGCCTTGGACATTCAGTGTCAATTTGCTGTGGCGACCTCAACAGGGTATGATGACACTGAGTCCACCATTTTCTGCAGAGGAACTGATCTCTGCTACTTAAAGAACAGTTGTAATTTTGAGTGATCTCCAGCCCTCACCTGGAGATTGGCAA